GTGTGTATGTGTGTGTGTGTGTGTGCCATTGACCATTAGGTCAAATCCAGAACCTGGCATATATTTGGCTTGATCCATTTTTAATAACTGACCAACATGAATAAAACCAAGAAAGACGTTAGATTATAGAAAATACATGTATACTACAAAATAGGAATAAGATACAACTTGGACAGACCAGTCTCTGAACCTTTTTTTAAGGATTCTAGTCAGATCGTACAGGACAAGTCTTTGGGAGATAATAAAATCATTTCAAATAAAATGTCAAAAAAAATACAGTGTATACTTTCCAGTAAGCTCAATTTCATAGTTTTAAAGGAAAAAATATAATTATCAATGAAAACAACCTCATCTCATCCTGTCCTAGATTAATACTTGCTTACTCATAGAGATAGTTAAGATCACAGGATAGCTGGGGGAGCCTATGAGAGACACCAACAGAAGTTCTTTCATGTGACCCTGATATCAGATAACTAAGAATCTAAACTCAGCATCTTCTCCAATGTTACATGACAAATTATCTAGAAAATCAGGTCTCTAGTCCTCAGTCTGCTCACTCTGACATCTGACCCTCAAACTGATGTTTTATCATTATTCGTTACATAAAAACCAAGCGTCTTGGACAGTTGCAGGCCCTCAACTCCTCCTCCTATACAATCTCACCAAATTTATATTTTAGTTCCCCTTATTTTACAGATATTTTAATCACAACTCGCTTGTCATGTTCCATGAGAGATCTTTAGGAAAAGCAAGACTACAATGCACCTACAAGGAGAGAATGCTACAAAAACTTCCTCTTTTAGAAGCAAATAAACCTAGAGTCTTTTTTGACCTTGAAGGGAAATTCAAAGCTGCACCCATTATCCATCCTGGACCAACAACTTTCCCTATGCCCAACATTGTATCTTCAAAGAACATGGAAATGCCTTTCCTGCTTGTCATGAATGTCCTTCCTATATTAAGTGTTGTTGTCTAACTGTTCTCTGTCTTCTCTGAATACACAAGGCTTAATCGACACAAGTCTCCTACCTCATGAGATTTATTGATACTGAGTCCCTGGAGAAGATCAACTTCATGTTCACTACAAGAGTCTTCACACCCTTAGCACCGTACTTGACATGACTAAGAAAATGAATATGTGTGCAATTGGTATTACCGGATGGGTGGAGCCTAACCACTGAACAAATGTTATAATCACTGTTTGAAGAAAACTATAAATGAGTAGGTACACAGTGTAGAAAAGAAAAAGGTGCGATGAGTGGATAATAAAGTCCAGATGGTAGCTTAGCAAGCAAAAATGTTTGCAATATCTCTCTAATTACAGTTAATCTTAAAAGCAGTTTTTACACAAATAAAACACAGGTATAAAACTTAATAGGATTAGTAAGACTTTTTAAAGGTTTCTATGCCTTTATCAGGAAATTCATTTCTATACTTGTATCAGGAAATCCATTTCTATACTTATATCAGGAAATCCATTTTGTTCTTTAGATTCAGCCACTTTTCTTTTTTTATGAATTTACTTAGCACAGATCTGTTTTTATTCAACAAAGTAAAAACCACATTGCTTAAGACACCACATATTTTGGCTGCAGGACGTAGAGAGCTCAATCTCAATCCAACCTGGAAACTTCTTTCCTGCTGGTTAGATTTCACAGTGCTGGAAAGAATATACAGGCAACTAGGGAAGAAAAGACATCAACGAGCTTACCCAGCGCTGTACCCAGCACGCTACAGTAACAACCTGCCAGGAGAATTGAAACCACTGGTGTCATAGTGGCATAACAGTTGTGAGCTAACTCACTGCTTTCTGATTGGGCTTGAGGCTTTCTCCACAGGAGAGATTAACTTGCCTGGTACTGTAACCCTGGTCAGAAGTCCATAGCTGGGAGGTCACAGGCTCTGGGATAGACTCTACTATTGTTTGGCTAAATGATCATTCTGTCAAATTGCCTTCAAAATATTTATGTTTATACCCATAGATTGGGATGCATGCTCTTAACTTTGGTCAGAGAAGCTTCTTTTTTGAGGCAGGCAGCAATCAAGAAAAATTTAATATTTTTAACAAATCATGAGTTAAGAAGCTATAGGGAAGGTCCAGCAGATATGAGCATATACTGCTCTTCCAGAGGATCAGAGTTCATTTCCCAGCACCGACATGTTAGTTCACAACAGCTTATATTTCCAATAGTCTCTCTCTCTCTCTCTCTCTCTCTCTCTCTCTCTCTCTCTCTCTCTCACACACACACACACACACACACACACACACACACAGACACACACACACACACACACACACACACATTTGTGATCTGTTTATCCTATAAAATGTTCTTGACAAGATCATGTATTGCAGACGGTAAGTGAATGCAATAGGATGTCAATAGGACAAATAAACATTCTAGGAATGATGAGCAGTTGTTTTCAGCTTTGCATCAATACAGGATTGACAGCAGCCAACATGATCTTTAGGTTATCTTTGTCCCCAGGAATCATTTCTTTGGATAACAGATTTAGAACTGCCTCCCTCTTCACAAAATACTATATGAATCTACTTGGAGAAATTTACAAAGAAAATAGAGAAAATGCCTCTTTGCCCTATAAAATTTTATACGCTGAACTTGACCCAAGTTTTAACATTGCCCCATTCTACACCATATCAATAAACACTCGCTTGTATCTTATCTCTTGTGGAATGAAATACATAATTTAACTGAAGCTCAGCTACAGAACAGACAATGCCTGTCCCTAATGGCTGCTACAATGACTAAACAGGAGAACACATCTTGTGGAAGTCAAATCACCTAAGAAGTGCCTGGCACAAGCAACGTCCTTTGTGGCTGTGCCACAGTGACTTTCACTGTCTGCTAGACACAGTCTACAGTCACATTGGAAGAGTGTCTTTAGTCGAGGACACACCCAGATCAGATTGGTCTGCGGACATGTCTGTAGAGGGTTGTCCTAATTGATAATTGATGTAGGGGGGCCTAACCTGCTGTAGGCAATGCTGCTGCCATGGCTGGTGGTCCTGGGCTGTATGAGAAGGGCCGGCTAAGCATGAGCCTTTGAGTGAGAGAGAAGCATCATGAGTGGTTTCTGCTTTAAGCCTCCTGCTTGAGTTCCTGTCCAGATGTCCCCCACTCAAAGACTGCCACCTGGAAGTATAATCCAAATAAATCTTTCCCTTCCATCAGAGGCTTTTGGTCCAAGAATTTGATGCACAACAGAAAGAAAACTGGAGTGGGCTGTTATTGCTGAATTTGGCGTCACTGCCTTCGCTACATACCGCTCCTCCTCCTGAGTTTCTATAGTATCATGAAATCACTACCATGCCCAGTTTCAGGCAAACCAGCCTCAAAGGGAAAAAAGGGGGCAGAGAAGCGAGAAACTGGAGATTCTAGGCAATAACTTTCAGTAATCATGTTTTTAAAGCAGTAACCATGAGTCTAAATGCTACCAACTCTTTCGTAAAATGGTAAAATGATTTCTGTTTCCCATCAGGATTATGTTGATGCTCAAAAAAAAAAAACTCATTAAAAAACCTGTCCCCATAATTGTGTTGAAGTAAACGGTTTAAAATTTTAATGCTTCCCTCCTGGTGTGTTAGCTACACTTTAGCACCAAGGGCAAATCTGGACGTCTCCCTAGGATCCCATCTGTTCCCTCGGGGCTTATGTTAAGCCATAATCTACTTACTCTATGTGGGGAAATGTTCCTATTACATTAAACTGAAATGTTGCATATTTTGGTGTCCTGTTTTTTTGGGTAATGACTTAATAACTGATAAAAACCCAACTTCAGGAATATGGATTTGGAGTTATAAGTTGTGAAAACGGTCTGGTCATGGAGATCAGTCAAAGCCTCATCTCAGTCAGAAAAGATTCATGATCTGAAAAACCGACATGTGAAGGAATCGGCAAACAGAGGCTCTGATGGGCAGTAGTGCCTAGCAACAATCAAGAATGTCAAAATGCAAGAAGTCAGATACCTGAGGGAAAAGTTAGACAGTATGGGAGACTGTGTCAGGGCATGGCAGATAAGGCATTTGGTGCCAGAAGGTCCTTCCATGAATAACAAGAATAGCCTGAAGTATGCATTTGACACAGCTGTTTAGCAAAGGCTTCCAAAATTGCAAAGACACCAATATTAACAAGAACCTTAGGCCAAATAACCAGGGTCCTGCTGGTTATAACATACAAGACGTGATAATAATATCAGGCTTTCCTCTAAGGCCTCTGACCTAAACAGCCATGGGTTTGGGGTTCAATCGGGCATGGGTTCTGTTTTGTAGAGTTGACTTTAAATCCTGTAAAAGAGTAGTTGATTGTTTCTAGAACATTCATGGCACTATTGCTCTGGTGGGCAATCTTTCCAACCCAATTATTACTGTAGTTTGCAGAGCTCACTGATAGCTAAGACTGACAATTAGTTTTCTTCCCCAGAATGGTGCATAGAACCTTCCAGCGATATGAGTGCTAACCTGTTGAGAAGAGGCTTCAAAATCAGTACCAACTTGTTTTCTCCAAGTTCTATGACTCTTGTGTGTGGTGTCCTCAGTAATAGAGTCTTACCATAAGTTTCTGGCATGCAACCAAGAGCAAAGGCTATAGGGTCTATTGATTGGAGGGGGCTGCATGGAACCCCACTGATGAACGACTAGAAAAGAGGTAACCCATACCTATAATCTGTGGTGTCTACAAGAGGCATTATCCTCCATTCTAGGGTAACTCCACTTATGGTCCATAGATATTTGAATATGTCTGTTTGTATGTGTGTTTGCGTGTGTGTGTGTGTGTGTGTGTGAAGCTTCTACAGTAGTATACTTCCATAGTGCTCCTTCAGAAAACTTCATTGTTGGTTATCACTTAGCTTTCTTCTCTGCCCTCCCTCTCCCACCCTGTTTTACCCTTTCTGTTTCTTTATTAATTTCCCTTCTTCATATCACTTATGCTCTGTTTCTCCTCCCAAGGGAAATTTTCCCATGATCCTCACTGCTTGGATGACCTTTGAGTACTCCAACTTAGACACATGTGCCCAAACATTTAATGTTGGCATCTACATCTGGGAGAGGGCAGAGTAATAACCTGCCCTGGAAGTTCTTACCTTTATTTCTCCTATCAAGCCTCTTCAGAGAAACTTCCTTTTACAGTAACAGTAGTGGGTGATTAATACAAAAACTGGCAACTGCTCGATATGTTGAGAATAGACAGGATGCTCAACTCCTAATGGGACAGCTATACGACATTCCCTCCGCCTTAGGCCCAGGGATCACTGTGGGAAAAGGAGGGAAAGACTGTTAGGGACAGAAAGAAGTAATGAATATTCGTGGTGAAACAGCATCTGCTGAATAGGGCAGGGCTTTTGCTCTCGTGGGCTGTGCAGTCATGGCTGTGACTGTATGAACAAAACCTGTACATGATCAATATATCAAACGTCCCAGAGTGGATAGGGGAAGAATTCATGAAGTCCTAGATTGGAAACACTGAGCAATAGATATTGTCTGGGGAATGGAAAGTCCATTTTCTTCAGGAGTAGGATCCCTGAGAGGCTACCAATGGAAACAAAACTTCTGCCAAGCTCCTCTGTCTATATCTGCCACTTCTAAATCACCACTTGTCTCCTGACACTATTCACCAATTTATACCTCAGTATGGCGATGAATGAGACTCAGCTCTTGTTTCTAAGAGTGCTTGGATTTATGAAAACATTGTTTTTATAAATGAAGATTCGACGCTTAGCTCCCACACATGCAGAAAACTTTAGGGCTTCAAAATTCAATTTCCATTTGGAGCCAGAAATATAACAATATTTAAACACCACATTTTAAAAGCCCATGCAGTGAAAACTTCCTGGAATCTATGAGGGTGAAGACTCTTTAAAATTAATTAAATAAATAGAATAATGTTAAAAAACAAACTTCACCTTATTGGAATCTTATGGTGCTTTACATAATCTTTCTGAGCAGTAAACAACAAACTATCAACCTGTAAATAAATAAGATGGTAGTTACATTTCTTCCCTCCATATTTTTGTTAGGTAAAGACAAGAATTTATTAGAAGGCTTGGGAGTGGGACATAGGAAGACAGAAATCATGAGCTCTGTAACCTTGAGTTTCAGGTCTTTCTTCAAGTGCTTCTTAAAGCCACTGATCCATAGGCTTTAAAATGGGCCCCTCAAAAAAAAACAATTTAAATTCTTTTCACTGAGAGGCAGTAGGTGTGTGATGATTAAGACTATGGTAGGCAGACATTAGGCTACTCCTTAGTATCAAATTCCTGCTCTACCATCTTCTCAATGCATAACCTTGGGCACACTTCCCAAACTGAGAATACACTTCTTCCCATTGGAAATGTCAACATCGCCTCTTTATTACCTTCAGGACTATTTTCATTCATCCACTCAATAAACTTCTTTGTATCCCATGATGAACTTCAGAAATACAAAAATAAATAAGGTTGATCCTACGCCCATAGACTACTGCAGGAGGCAAGCACACACTCTGTGACCATAATCAAGGAAAGCCCTGGATAAGGACGACTGCAGAGGGCCAAGGGTCACCAATCTGCCTACTGAACTAGAGAAACATACTGAAGAAGAACTACCACTTTACTGAGAGTGGGGAAAATGGTGCAATCCCAAGGCAATGAAAGGGATCAGCATGCTTCAACACACTACACCTGAGGCACTGAGGATCAGTCTGGAATGGCACACAGCACAGAACGGCCAGCACCCAGAACCCAGCACCAGTACAGAGCTGAACAAGACAGAGGCAGGAGACAGCAAAAGTTCTCCCATAGCTTACCTCAAAGTTGGGGCTATACCTGTGTGTCTGAGAACTTCCTGAATGAAGAGATTGGCAAGACCAATGGCAAAGGGAGGAAACAGAATAGAACTGGACAAGGTTACAGCAGCTATCGCCAGGTGACCTGTCAAGGAACAGGGCTTCCTACCATGGTATTTTGGTGGGATGTCTGACTTAATGAAAACCTAGGGTTTATTCTTGTTTGATCACTTTAAATGTTCTTGCTGTATTTTATATTAAATTTCAAAAGGCCATGGAGAAACAAGGTAGTATATTATTTGCATTTTAATAAACAAAGCTTGCCTGAAAATCAGAGAGTAAAACAGTCCCACTGGTCGGCCTTACAGACCAGGCAGTGGTAACACATGCCTTTAATCCCGGTAGCCACACTAGTTTGCCATAGAAACTGGATGGTGCATGCGTTTAATCCCAGTGATGAACGCCTTTAATCCCAGCCCTAGAGAGGAATGTAAAATGGGAGACAGCTCTCACACACAGTCTCACTCTGAGATTCCTGGAGGCAGGATCGCCATTTTGGACTGAGGTAGAGGTAAGAGCCGGTGACTGGCTGTTTTGCTTTTCTGACCTTCAGGATGAATCCCAATTTCTGTCTCTGTGTTTTTATTAATCGTGCTGCAGAGTAAGATTTCTGATTTTAATACAACTGAGGCGTGGGGAGGGAAACCAGCATGTTTTAGTGGCAGAGTTGTCAGAAAAGCGCTAGCCAAGCACTTGGGACTCTAAACAGTCTTTTGCCATTCCCCATTACTCTCAATTTGCTCGTGTTTATTTGTAAATGATTGCTTTTATCATGAGAGCAATTAAATGCTTCTTTCTCCACCAGCTTTCTTCTCCCATCATTTAGCTGACATTCTCTCTACCTGATTTATTTTCAGCATGCAGGAAGGAAGATTTTCCAAAGCAAAGGTGAGTTTAAACCTAGCCAGTTGCCAGTCTCTGGTTTATTCCTAATTAACTGAGATGAAAAGAATCAAGGGTTATTGTTATTGAGCTTTTCAAAGGCCTCTGCTTGCATTATATTACCAAGGATTTGGCAAAAGGAATGTGTTTCATCCTTCTGAGATCTAAGAATGACAATGGGACAGATGACAGACATCAAGAAAGTCATCACCTGGCTTCAGGCAGAAGCCAGGCTTTGGGGTGTTTTCCGAATCCCTTACTAAATAAAGCAGCAATATTGGAAGAACATGTTAGAAAATGGCATTACTAGAAGGTTCAGAGTCCATACCCTATGTGAGTAATATCCTTGTATAGGTGCTAAGCAACCGAGTATGTCTGAGAACCTCAGCATTAAGATAAAATGAGTTTGCTTCTCTGTAATGAGGTAACCAAAGGGAACTTATTACCATTGCAGTTCTCATTCATACAGCCAGGAAACAGGTTATGATCCTGTGGAGGTGAGGGGAAAAAATGAGTCTGTAAGAATCTCATATGCTTGATAAACTAACACTCTAACAGCGGAACAGAGGGAAAAGAAAATGCCGCATGTGATGGTGTACGCCTGCAATCTCAGTGTTACAGAGCTTGAGGGGTCAGGAACAAATTTGTAGTCATTTGGGCCTAAATAACAAGACATTGTCAAAAAATAAGCAAAATGGAGAAATGGGAGATGGCATAGACACAGAATAAATCCACTGAAGGTCGTAGACCAGCTTCAAGAAAGAAAGAAATGGTAGGTCTAAGAACATTGTTAAGTAGAACACTTGCCTGACACATGTAAGACCCTGAGGTTGAGCTGCAGGGCTGCATATTTGTTTGTTTGTTTTGATTTTGTTGTTGTTGTTGTTTGTTTTGTCCTTTTCTTAATTTTAAATATAGCACTGAGAATTTGACCAAAGTTTTTTGAGAAAGAAAAGAGTTATCTATTCCTAATCCCCTTTCTCTTTCTTTCACGCCTGCTTTTCTAGTTTCTAGAGTGAACATTTCGTAGAAGAAGCGCCTCTTTTAGAAACCATAACCAGGGTCACCCTTGACCCATGCCTTCCTAACTCCTTGGCAGCCTCTTTGCTGGTCCCTGTCCCCAACCCCAGTAGACTCCTGCCACCCAGGTGAAGCCAAACCAGTCAGAACCAGGGTAAACCACACTAGCCATGAGTGACCATCCTCCCAGTGGAACTGGAACTGCTCCCTGCCTGGATTCCTCCTTTCCTGCAGTCCAAGCCATCCTAGCTTACTGCTGACCCTACTGCTGAGTCCTAACCCAACCCCAGCAGACTGGCTCCATTCAGAAGCAGGTCATACCAGTCAGAACAGGATCAACAGGTACACCAGATAAATATGGTTAAGTCAAGATGATGATGTGGGATGTCCTTCTGTATATGCGTTGCTTTTATTGGCTAATGAATAAAGCAGCTTTGTCCTATAGCAGGGGAGAATACAGCCAGACTGAAAGAGATACACAGAGAGAGTAGGTGGAGTCAAAGAGGCGCCATGTAGCCACTGAAGGAGACAGATGTCGGACGGAACCTTACCTACTGGTAAACCATGAGCCTTGTGATAAAATATAAAATAATAGGAATAGGTTCATTTAAGATATAAGAGTTAGCTAGAAATATGCATGAGCTAATTGGTCAAGCAGTGTTGTAATTCATATAGTTTCTCTGTGATTATTTTGAATCTGGGCAGCTGGGGGAAGAACAAACAGCCTCCGCCAACAAGATGAAATACAGCTAAGAGCTGAGTTACTGCTGGAATGTGACTCCTCAATGCTTGCAGTGCTCAGATGTGAAACACTTGTGGAAACATTATGGGCGTTTCCGACTGGGAGGTTTGTGGGTCACGAGGACATGGCTCAAGGAGAATAAAGGAAATTCAGGCCCTTCTTCCTTTCTGATATCTCTCCCTGGCTATGCAGTCAGTGTCTTTGCTCCAGCATACATCCCATGAATTCAGTGTTGTCTTACCGCTGGCCCAATTATGGACTAGAACCCTTACAACTATGAACATAAACCTTTTCTCTTTGTATTCTTCATCTCAGACAGGATTTGGTACAAGGACAAGATGCTGACTGACAGCTGCTTTCTCTGTTTTATTAGAAAGATACTGACTTTGTAACTCCAACACACTGAATCTGCAGCTACCTCATAATCTTCCCTAAATGGAGAAAAGCTACCACTCACCAGGTGTTCTATAAACACTGCACTAAAGAATGCCTTCTCCCCAAGACAAAGATTCTTTTCACCTAGAGGAAATTCTCTGTAACAATAAAAAGTAAGCAGTGGGGGCTGGAGAGATAGTTCAGAGGTAAAGAGTATTTTCTGGTCTTGCAAATGACCAGGGTTTAGTTCCCAGCACCCACATGGAAACTTACAATCATCAGTAACTCCCACTGCAGGGGATCTGACACCTTTCCTGACCTCCACAGTCTCCCACATTCATGAGGTGTAGATACATCCATACAGAAAAAAACACACATAAAAATAAAATAAACAAATGGTTTTTTAATAG